TTAATTTAGCCACTTGGTTTTTTTTGATTAATATTTGCATGATGTGTCTTCTATATCTCTTTACTTTCAAACTACATATATCTTTATATTTGAGTTTCTTGTATGGAGCATATAGTTGGGTCATATTTTAAAATTTGCTATAGATCTCTGTCCATTTTTTTGTTTTATTTATATAATTTATATTTCATGTATGTCTGATCTGCTAGGGCTCAAGCATGCCATTTTAAAATTAGTTTTCTCTATCTTCTTAAATTCCTGTTTCTCTGTTTATGCTTCTCTGGGGATTGTTTTACCATTTCTTATGCAGTAATTCCATTAAAATTTTTTTTTTGGTACCAGGAATTGAACTCAGGGCCTTGCACTTGGCAGGCAGGTACTGTGCTGCTGAGCTGTATCACTGGCCCCCAGAAATTCCATTTTGATTTACTTATACTGCTTTTGTGTGCATGTCTTTTAGTGTTTTCTGTAGGTGTCATATTATACACAGGTGACATTGCAGCAGCCAGCTGACTTTGTTTTACTATGTGACCTCCCTCTCAGCAGAGACAGGTCTCTAACTCCTACCACCTGTAGTTGTCCTAACTATTTCCTTTGGTTACAGTGAGAAATTCATCAACATCATGCTTAGCTCCTCCCCTTTCCCACGTTCCTTTCCTTCCTGAGGGTTGAACCCGGGCCCTGATACTGACTTACATCCCCAGCTCCTTTTTGTATCTTTGAGACAGGGTCTCCCTCTGGTGCTAACTTGCCCAGGCTAGGCTCAAAATTGTGACCCTCCTCCCTTACTCTCCCAGAGTACTAGGAATATAGACCTATACCATCATGCCTGGCCTTCCTCTAGCAAATTCTTATTATGCCAATTAATTTTTCTGGGTTTTTCCAAATATTCCATTTTATGTTAATTACACCAATATGGAGCATTTATGTGGAAAAGATAAATAAAAAGTCATGATTCAGGAGGCCAGTTCTCTTAACACATTCATGTACTCAAAACTATTGTCCTAATGGGGACTTCAAGCGCCGCTAGAATAGCCATTTGTAGGGAAAACCTAAAATTACGTGATCAATGGAGTCATTCTAAATGCTTTGGTTATCGGATGAAAGATCATTTGCACTTTTCCTAAAAAGCTTATTTTAAAAATGAAACTGCATCTCACACGTAATTTCTCCATGATTCTTCCGAATTAAAAAAAGCAAGCACTATTGCTAGTGTTGTGCCTTTTTGTCACAGGGGCTTTTGGGGTGGAGAGAATGGCAGAGTACTGTTTCCTGTGTAGACTCTGCAGTACACGGGGGCCTGTACGATCACCAGGCTTGAGGCACAAGATGTATGTATTACGGTTGGCATTTGTTTGATGCTGATTCTGGATATGCCTAGTTATTAAGAGATACATATGGATTTTTTACAAGATGGTTCCAGGAAAACATTGTGAGAAGAAGGATGACTCAAAGGATACTGGACATTGTTGAAATGTCATCTATATTAGGAAGCTTTTGTGCAATCCCTGACAGCACAGTGAACATAGCTTGTGATTGTGTTTCATTATTTTCCTCTCATCCCTTTTCATTTTATCTAATATCTTCTCTATGTAGACAATTGGCCATGTTAAGACCTCAGAAAGATGTTTTTCCATCTCTGAGGATGTTCACCAGCTCCAACTTATCTTATTTTTTTCCCACTCTAAGCATTTTGAAAAAGAACCATAAAGAGGGGACTAATTTTCTCAGTATTCAAGTAAATTATATAGTAAAATAATTAAAATAATTAGGTACTGGAGAAGGTCCCGACAGACAGTGATTCAACAAGGAGACTTGATTTAAACAGGAACTTAATAATAAAGGTAGCATTTCAAAGGCAGGTAAGTTAGTAGGTAGTCATGGAAGAACTAGTTAATCATGGATGGGAAGGGGAAAGCTGGCTTTTACTCCACTTGGATCCAAGACTTAAATATAAAAATCATGACCCTATTCTTAAAAAGGGCTACCATGCTGGATGTGGTGGTACACAAACGTAGCTCCAGCTACCTGGGAGGCTGAGACAGGAGGATCTCTTGAGCCCAGGGGTTTGGGATCTGAGTAACGTAGAGAGATCCCATATCCAAACAAAAACAAAGACCAAACTAAACCAAATCTTAACATTTTAATAATTCTGAATTGGTACGAGAAATTTGGGAGACTATTTGTACAAATCAACAGAAAGACCATAAGAAAATAAAACAAAGGAAAGGACACCCAATCTTTTTCTTAAGTTAACTTTATTGGTACATTTTAACATGACTTGTTTCCTGATTTTTTTTGGGGGGGTACCAGGTATCGAACTCACAACTGTGTGCTTGCCAGGCAGGTGCTTATGCCACTGAACTAAATCCCTGGCCCTATTGATATATTTTAGATATCTATATGATCACATTAATCATAGGGAATTTGTACATGTACATGATATATCTTGATTCTTTTTTTTTTCCCATTCCTGTACCCTCCTTTCAACCCTTTTTCCCCTCCTTATTTACAAATGCTTTGGTTCCATTTTTCCCTTCTTTTCTCATTTTCTTTTCCCTTCCTTTCCATCTCCCCCTTCCCTAGATCCTCTCTCCATTTGAACATTTTCTTCCTATTTCACAATATTATACGTTTTGGTTCTTATTTACACTTTCATCTTCTCACAGTGAAACAACATGGTATCTACGTGTGTGACCAATTTATTTCACTTGACAGTAGTTTCGAAGTGAAGATGTCTTACCTTATAGTAAATGTACTTTTCACCTCTGAGAATCTAGATCAAAGTAGTGCAAGCCTGTGCTGCTAAGGCACCTTCCATGTGCTTCCTGTGCCACCCTCTGCACGTGGCATCCTCGGAGAGGACCATCGCCCTGGATCCTGGATCCTGAAGGGGCAGGAAGGCGGAGGGCAGGAGAGAGGAGATACCAGGGTCACAGGGCAGAGGCTGCTTCCACTAATAAATGTTCTTGCAAGGCCAAGTCTGCTTTTATCTCATTTGCTAGAACCGTCCCTGGCTGCTGGGGGGTGGGGAGGGGAAGTGAAGGTTGTTTTTTAACTTTCCACTGTATAAAAAGTACACAAATCATAAATACGTAACACATTTCACACAGCGAGCACGCCAACGTGGTCAGTATCCAGATGGAGAACAGGATTAACCTCCTAGCAACTCCCTGCTTGCCCCTTCCCCTCACTACAGATGGTATTTTCTTTTTGTTTTTTTGGTCTTTTTCCTTTTTATCGGTACCAGGGATCGAACTCACAACTGCCTGCTTGCAAGGCAGGCGCTTATGCCGCTGAGCTAAATCCCCAGCCCCCAGATGGTATTTTCAATAGGTCATTGTAACCAAAGTTGAGTTCATTAAGGAAAAGAGAAAGTGCCAGAAATTTGTCACAACCATATATATATATATATATATATATATATATATATATATATTACCCAAGAGGCACTCTTATCTTTAACTGTTTCCCCAAAATCTTTCATTATCGGTCTAAGACATGTTCTTTATTTTTAGAGATAGGGTCTTGCTATGTAGTTGAGGCTAGCTGTGAACTTGCTACATATGTAATCCAGGCTGGCCTTGGACTCAGTGATCCTCCTGCATCAGCCTCCTGAGTGCTAGAATTACACGTGTGCTCCCCACACCAGGCTCAGACATTTTCATGTCAGGAGTTGACCCCCACCCTTGCTGGCTAGGATCCCACATTGGGAGCTCTGTGAATACAGAAACATCCTAGAATGTCTTTTTCAGGGCCTCCATTCCATGAATGCAGTAAATATGAGGAAAATTTGCAATTTTTAAGAAGCTAACTCTCAAGTGAGATATGGATGGCCAAGTCTTAGGCCAAGAGTCAGGATCCAAGTAGTATTACAGCACGCCCGATACTGGACTGTTTCCCTGGAGGCTCTCACCCTGCTGAAGCTGAGAACATTCATCTAGGAGAGAATCCCTGCAGAGACGCTTCAGCATCCACACAGGACACCGGCTGCTTCCCATGTAACAGAAACTACAAAGGCAATAATGTGATAGGGAACTCAAGAAAACAAGGGTGTGGTGTGCTACAACAATCTCAAGGTGGAGAAAAAGTGTATGTACTTGGGGGAGAAAAAAGGCCTTCAGACAGTGCTTCCGGCTAACTCAAAATCTGGGGTTTTGTAGCAGAGAAGATGCAGAACTTGCGGTCAGAGTTCCTTCCTTAGGTGATGTGAGAGAACTCATGTGGGATTAAGCTGGGCATGGTTTGAATATGCAAAACCACGAGCACAATCCACACCAGATCATTCACCCTGGGAGCGGGGCGAGTGCAAGTCACCGAGGGAGGAGGGCGGGCACTGGAGAATTCACAGGAAAGGAAGGCTTGTAAAGATGTTGTAGAGCTTTTAGGCAGTCATCAGGCCGCTTCATCCTAGAGAAAGGCTTCAATGAGGAGGAGTGGGGAAAAGTCTCAGTTCTCCTCATTATCGGATTTCAAAGAACTCCAAGGGATATCAGAAAACTTTCTGGGCAAATTCAGGGTTAAGTAAGTACCACAGTAAAGCACCAATCCTATTACCGTGCAGGGACATAAACTTTTTTTCTGATTTTACCCCCAAAAGAGCTTCTATTTCTTTCTCTTATTATCTAAAGGCTTTTTATATTCGTCTGTAATGATTCCTCTCTCTCTTCCTTTTATAAGCTTAACTTTGCCCTCTAGGTATGCAATTCATTTCTATTGAATGAATGATGTCATAAAATAGGCTCATATAACTTTCCTGGCTTTGGGGCCAGGACCCCCATATAGAGGGAGACATGACTACACTGAGAGGGGCTGGGCTTAATGACAGACCATGATGATCACAACTTCTAATAGCATGACGCATCTAAGGCTGGACCCCTAGATCTGCGACCTACAGTGGCCCCATCTCTACAGGACTGAAGATTACTCTGGGATAGGAAATGGGGTGGGCGCCTTTTCTCGGGGTTTGAATGCAACAGAACAATTTGCATTTGTCAGACACATTCAGAAGATGCCAGTCTAATCTTTATTTTAAAGAACAGAGTTTCAAAGAGCTAGGGAAGAGAAGGATCAGGCACATTTCTTGTCACAGAATCACGTGTCCACAAGAAGCTGCGCCGAGGGGAAGCTGTCTTGGTCCGCATTCTCGGCACCGCCTGCTCTCCGGGCTGCCAATCTACTCCCCTTCCTCGACAAGCAGTCTAAGTCTCCCAAAATACACCCTCGCCTCCCACTGACTTACCTTCCCAATTGCGTTAGAAGTGACTCAGGCCTTGTGCATTTTTCGGGCTCTTAGCTTTACTTGGAAAAGAAACAGGTAGATGGGGGGAAAAGGAAAGAGAAGACAGAGGGACTGAGGATGCCATACAAGGCAATGAATGAGAGCCACAAATCCGGGACTCTGTTCCCAAGATGACCTAAATCAAGGCTGGCTAAACAGTAAAGCCCAGGTCCCCACAGTTTAGTTTCAGCTGCCACAAACTCCTTCACCTACCGGAGAGCTGGAAGCACCCAGCTATGGACGCTGGCCTCTCTCCAGGGTCCGCCTGACTTCTTGCGCCTTCCACGGCTATTTCTGGGCCCCTGCTCAGGCCCCAGATCTCAGCCACTGCGCCCTGCTGAGCTTGTTCTCCACACAACTCACCCCCGAGCCCATCTTAGAAGGCTCAGACTTCTGGAAACTTCCTCAATATTTTTCTTTCCTTGTCTATCTAGTGATTGGGACCAAGAGCTGGGACTGTCCTCTAAGTTGTGAAGGTGACAGATAACGACAGGAAGTGTTCTGGGGTGGTTAGAAGTACAGAACACGTTCTCTCATCAACCCCTAGGTGGATTTTCATTTGCAGCTGTAACAAGAACCAAAGGGTGACAGGGGCACCATGGAGGAGATGACACAAAAGCTCTGAGAACTTTTCAGGCTGCAAGGGATAGAGGCTCGCTTAGAAAACAAAGGCCTTTAACCTATACAGCTGGCATGCTGAAAGCTAGTGATTCCAGGGTAGATACAGTGGCTCAAGGACGTTACCAATGGCCTGGGCACTAGGCCGGGGATACAGCTCAGTGGCACAAGTGCCTGCCTGGCAAGCGCAAGGTCCTGTGTGTCACTCTGTCTCAGCAAGCTGGCTTTCCCCAGGCCTTGTGGTCTCTTGGACTGTCGATGCTCCCGGCCATTTCTCCATAGTGTCCTGCAGCAGTAAGTCACACGCTTTCTAAGCCAAGTGACAGAAGGGAACGTGCAGTGAGCTTGCTGCAGTGACACTCGTGGCTGATGCAGGGCTCCCTGGTGGGAGGGCAGCTCTGGGGCTGCTACCTCACTCTAACTGCCAGCAGCTCTGCTCAGGTTGGCCCCTCCTTATCCTCTTGCCAAAAAACAAGCCTACTTTCCTCTCCACCACAGCTGGTTCTGTTTTGCTTTATTTAAACCTTCTCTCCAGTAAAATTTTGCACAGCACACTGGTCCACCCAGGCCCTGCTTGCTTCATGACAACTTGTCCCCCACTGTCTAGATGATCTCCATTTTGGGTCAAGTTTCCCAAAGGGTAAATATGATCAGTCTGACTGACTTTATGTTTTTGTACCAGGTGACTAGGAGTCACTGGCCAGGATATGCTGGGTCCCAACACCGTGAACTGTGCACACACCCTAAAGAGTCCCATGGTGCGACACAGCCAGGGCAACAGGGCTGAGCAAACAGGTAGGGGGTAGCCTAGTGGGGAGGACCACAGAGAGAAGCACAGAAGCTCCAGTGGCGTGGCTCCATGGCAATGCAAAGGCCCCTGTGGACACCTTGGTTCCAGCGGACACTACCAGGAGTGGAGGAATATGCTAGAAGACATACACAAGACCCCATCTCAGCCATTCCAGTGGAGGTTCTGGGTACAGTGGGGCAGAAGCTGAGCATAGTGCCTGGCTTGCAGAATTGAGAGCACAGTCCCAGATTCTTGAGGCTGCTGTGAGTCGTGATTCTCCAGTTCTCACAGCAGAGATTCCAGTGACTGCTGGAGGGAAGGCTGAGGTCTCAGGAATGTGACTTGCGCAAGGTTGGAAGTGTTCACTCTGAGATTTGCTCTCTTGGAAACCTTGATGCAGCTTTCACAGGCACAGGAGATGGTGGAGGTGGAATTAGCTCAAGATGGCCCCACGGCCCAGCTGGACTATGCACTGGTGATTCCAGCAAGTGGAGTGAAAAATTCTGCAATAGAAAAATGAGAACTACTGGCAAAAGGTGGGAGGCAGACCTGACCTGGAATCCTGTCTCCTCTAGTAAGGGGCTGTGTGACTCCGAGCCAGGGAACGCTTCACATCTTATTTCCTTCATCTGTAACACAAGGGCAGAAACATGGCTGTCTAAAGGGGTGTGGGGAAGATTTAACCAAGATTCTGGGTGTGACACACTTGCACAGGGGACATTACATTCCTGCTGGTTATTAGCGTGGGTACTTCACTCGCTGGCTGCTGGGACTTTCTGGGTGGGAACTCAAGTGGTGCCCTCATGCCAGGGAGTGGGGTGGGAACTGGGACAAGGGGTAACTTGACTTTACAGCTTTCTACCTAGACCTGGCTGGTTAATTGGTTTGTTTCCTTCTTTTTTTAAAGACCTCATTTCTTAAGCAACTTCCTGAAAGCCTTTGAGATATCTTTGCCGCTTATGGGGAAAGGCCCAGACTAGGATCACCCATCCCCCAGATCTTTGTTCCTCCAACAGCTTTCTCTCAATTACTCACTTTGATTTCTTCCACCTGTTTTTTCCATATCTTATCTGCTGTGGCCTCTGGCCAGTCATTGCCAGAGCAATTTGAGACAATATTCTGGAGAATTACTATAAATAACACTCCAGCTATAAACTGCCACCAGGAGCAGAGCACCTGAAGACAGTGACCGGCTGTCTCCCATGGCCCAGATAACAGGGTGCATTTGGCCTGTGGTAAGCCAACAGCGGCAGCTGGCAGGCCCACTCTCCCTCCTCTCGATGCCCATGCGGGAACCTGCAACCTGCTCAGCAGGTCCAAGTGACGGCTCTTACTGTCCTGCCAAACACAGCGTTGGCTTGTTTGCTTTTAAAGTAATTTAGAAGAGCTACAAATTTTCTTGAATTCAGCACAGAAGCTATGAGCTACAAATTTTCTTGAATTCAGCACAGAATTTACCTCTGTTTTTCAGGAAAGACAGATTTGTAACTAACAAGAGGAAACAGGCCTTTTCTGTACTTTCTGTGTGGGACCCAGAACTTAGCCATACACCAAAGGGATGAAGTCACAAGGTACAGAAGGACACAGTACAGTTATTTACCTCTGTCCTCTAGGCCCTCTGCATGACTGGTAGCTTTGTCACTACAGAGCATTAGGAGCTACTGTGTGAACACCTCTCCTGCCAGAGGTGAAGTGGGGCACTGCCGGCAGCCACAAGCTAACACAGGCCCTGTCCTACGAGCTCTAGGGGGTTCCTGAGCTAGGCTCACTTAACCAGCACCCCTGCAGGAGTACTGATTCTTGCTTGTCCCCAGCCTGCCCCCTCCTTATGGACACTCCCAGGCCCAGCGCATCTCCATGCAGACCAGGGATAATGGGGTTTCAGGGCTAACCCAGCTGGCCTGCTGCAGTGGGGTGGGGGAGGACAGTAAGTAGGTCACCTTCCTCCCTGTGTAACCTTGAACATGAGGGACAAGCATCCCAGGAGAAGCAGGCTGCATCTTTAGTTAAAGACAAACGCCCTGAGCCATCTGCTTGGACTGCAATGTCCACAGCTGTTGAGAACCTCATTCCGGGTGTGTCGTGCTCAGAGGTGCTGTGGGGGAATCCAAATGATGAGATGCAGTTCCTCTGCTAGGAGCTTAGATGTGCTGGAGAGGAAAACGGCATAACCAGATCCTGGAGGAACAGAACACAACATGGGTGTCAAGCAGGTGTTTCAGGCAGTGATCCCTCCTAGAAATGGGGGAGGTGGCAGGGACAGTGGGCAGGAGATGAACTGCAGGCTACAGGGTCCTGGGAAGGCTTCCAGGAGAGAGGGGGGAGGCCAGGTAGCTTGAAGGATGGGTGGTGGCCAGGGCTGCACTCCATGGCCACCACTACATGTGCCATGACACGGGTGCTCTGCATCGTGTGTGAGCTGCAGATTCACCCAGAGCCTTCCCTCCTCTGCCTGCTGCAGTCACAGAAGGGATGGCTGGAGGCTGGAGTCTATGTGTGTGCGCAGAGATCTGTGGGTCACAAATGGAGCCTCACAACCCTCATTTCCCACCATGTCACAGCAGTGCAAGGCCACGATCTGGTCATGCTTTGTGCTGAGAAAGATACTGCTTCGGGGACACTCAGATGCTAAACCCAACCTCCCTCCACGATGCACATGGCCAAACATTTGGATAGAATTCTGGCAGAAAATCAAAGAACTCATGCAGCAGGGGAAATCTTTGAATATTATGAAAAGGGGAAATTTCCATTCATCCCATAATTCATACTAGAGAGACTCCCTCTGAATGGCTCCCATAGAGGCAGCTTGGCTGGAGTGGAGCAGGCACAGAGAGGAGAAAATCGTAGGGTGGAGAGAACACGAAATAAGCCTGAACCTACGTCACAGCTTGTGCGCATCCCGGATGCATGGTGTGATGTTCCAGAAAGCACCACTTTGCCCGGCTCTTGATGAGCCACTGCAAGCAAAGTCCTTTGAATGTGATGAATTGGGGGTGGTGATCATTTGAGGAGAAATCAACCCTTATTCATCGCTGAGGTTCCGGCTGGAGAGCAGGCGGACGGTCGTCACAGATGACAAAGTGCCGGGGGTGCCCCCATCTCCAAGACAGGGAGACCAGGGAGAGAGCTGAGGATACGGTGGGGGGGGGGGGTCTCCGAGCACTCGTGACTTCAAATGCTCACCCAACAGAGAGCTGTGACAACAGCTGTGAATGCAGAAAACGGTCTTGTCAGCGCTTAGACTTTTAGCAGCAGGAATGGAGGGATGCAGGCTCCTTGGGGACAGCGTGCCAGGGGACAGGCAGTCCTGCATGTGTGGTGCTTGGAGGTGCCCAATACTGTGTAGAAGGCAAGAATCAGGCTCTGCACTTCTCGAAGTTTCCTTTCCATAAGGTTCCCAAGTTTCCATCATCTTTCACCTACTTCCCTCAGTCAAGTCCAGCTCAGTTGTTTTCGCCTTTCGGGGTATCCTGGCCCCTGCCTCTTCATGTGCTCTGCACGGTCTGTGACGGGCAGGAGGCTCCTGTCCCCGCTGTGCTGTGACTCCTGCCCACACACCCTGGGCTGCTGCTTTGGCTGACTCATTCATTCGTTCCTCCGTTCCACGCAGATCTTCGCACCACGCAGATCTTCACAATATCCACTTGAACTGGGACACAGAACAAGGAAGGAGGAGGTGTCAGTGACAATGGGCTTGGGTAACCTAAGGGAGAAGATCAGGGGTCAGCCTTGAGATGATAAGGGCGCCTGTGTCCCCGAGTTTCCGAGGGGCGATCGGAAGGGAGCAGCACTGGTAGGGAGAGGGATCTGTCTTGGGCCAGATCCCTGGCTTCCCAGCACCAGGCAGAGACGGTCCTGGTCCTCCGGTTACAGCATTCCGTGCACTAGGCTTCCAGAGACTTTCAGGACAGTGAGGGACACTGTGAACGCAAGTGTGAAGGGAAGGAAGAGAGAAACGGACTGGGAACGGGAAGGCTCACTGGCTCTTTCAATTGTGAGCACACACAGGCCGCTTCACCGCACTCAGTCACACTCCCGGAGCGCGCTGGGCTGTGGGTGGTGAGAGTCACACAGGGTTGAATGGGGTGGTAAACACATGCAATCCCAGCATCGTGGGAGGCTGAGACAGGACTGTAAATTCAAGTCCATCCTGGGCAACTTAGGAAGACACTGTCTCAAAAGAGAAGATAAAAAGGGGTAGGGATGTAACTCACTGCACAGATCCTGGGTTCAAGGCTCAACACGGGGGGGGGGGGGGGGGAATGAAAGAAAAAGGTAGTCCCTGCCTTCAGGAGCTCCTTTCTAGAAGGGAGGCAGACAGTTCAGGGTGCCAAGAGTTTTGCAGTGGGAAGTGAGGGACCCACAGAAGCTCAGAGAAGCATACAGACTGGCCCCTGGGAACTAAGGGAAGAGAGGACATTTTGAGACATGCCAGGGGCCAGGCATGGTGGCACATGCCCATAATCCCAGTACTTTGGAGGCTGAGGCAGGAAGACCTGCTGCTGCAGGGTGGAGGGGTGAGGAGGAGGCCCTGTGAAGCTGGCAGTAAAGGGTGTCAGGCTGCAGGCATGGCCTGGCCTGGGCAGCTCTGCTGTTTTTTGTTTAGAAGCCCAGGGTTGGGAAACAAGAGCACATTTGTGCAAAGATGAGGTCCAAGAGTGAGCGTGTGAGTTTTGTCCCACGACTTCCAAGAAGTGCAATGAACATAATAAGCGATAACGCAGAAGGGACAAGGGGCGATCTTGATATCGTTGCTAGCTGCTTCTCTCAGGAGGCACCAGTCTGGGCAGGAAGGGCCGCAGGCAGGGCCTCAGGCTCCAAGGGGCTTTGGGTTTGTTCGCGGGCAAACATCTCCCTCTGGTGGTCAAGAGCGGTACTGTCCTGGCGAGCCCGCACGGCGGGAGCGGCACGCCGCAAGGGCAGGGACCTTCCCCAGGTCTTCCTCTGAGATCGGTTGAAATCAGGCCTGGGGCTGCACGGAGCTTGTGGACCCCAACTCCCTTTTTAGAGAAGGACGATCAATGGGGGAATGTATGTACCCTTCTGTATATCCACATGGTCAGAAAAAGTGATCAAAAGATACTCAAACATAGGTGACTAATCTTTTTTCACATTATCATGTACACTACTTTAAAATTCTCTATTTGGTGCATTTCTTTCTTTTTTGCCATCCTGGGAATTTAATCCAGAGCCTTATACAAGCTAGGTGAATGCTCTAGCACTGAGCTATACCCCAGTAACACTTCTCTTTTGTTATTTGAGACAAGGCCTTGCTAAGTTGCCCAGGCTGGCATAGAACTTGTGACTCTCCTGCCTCAACCTCCTGAGGAGCTGGGATTACAGGTGTGCACCTCCATGCTGGGCACATGCATCAATTTTGTTGGCAAGAGGAAATACAGCATTTTAAAAAGGGCAGAAGTTACAACACAGTGGCCCAAGAGTAGCCCCCGGTGGAAGCCATTGAAGGGGCAGCTCTTGTTCACATCCAAACCTGGATGGTCACCAGACCACAGAGAGACTTGCTGGGGACCAGGCTTCCTGAGGACCACTGTCCACAGTGCCTCCCGGGCCCCATGCCTTGTGCCCCTTTTGCTCCTGCACACAAGTTCTCCTGCAGAGAGGGATTGCTTTTCATGTCTGCTCCCGGGAAGGTTCTGAACCTGTCTCCAGTGCTCCACATGTGACATGTACTCCACTTGGTAAAATAAACTCTACAGGAGATAAAATAAACTCTACAAAGACGAAATAAACTTTACAAAGGTGTTTTGTGAGCCAGGTGTGGTGGTGGTAATTACGGAGCACTTAGGGGGCTGAGGAAGGAGGATCATGAGTTTGAGACCAGACTGGACTGCTTAGTGAGTTCAAGACTGGCCTAGATACAGTGAGACCCTGTCTCAAAACAAAACAAAAATGTGCTTTAAAATTACACACACACACACACACACACACACACACACACACGCACGCACACACACAGGCAGGGTTGGTTAGAGACATGGAAACTGGAGAGCAGACTGATGGTTCTATGTGACCCCATTGGCCACCCAAGTCCTAGTTAAGCGCCCTGTGACTCTGGCCGGATGTGATCTTGCCTTGGGCACTATCTCTGCAGTGTCTCTTGACTTCTGACCCCGTTGGCCAATAGGTGTGGTTCAGAGTCATGGGATATCTTCAGGGACCCAGCAGGGGCCTGTGCAAGTGAATGACCCCGCTAGGTCACTCCCAGGTGTGGATTCCTGACAGGTCACGTGCCTGGGCCTGGCAAAGGCTTTCCCAAGGCCTCTGGCCTCACTGGCTTCACTCCCATCCCAGAAAGGGGGAAGCGTCCATGGAAGGTGCTGCCAGCCTTGCCTGTCCAATGACAGCCATCTATTAATCAGAATGACACCCTTACCCTGGATAGGTACCTGTGGGTCACCTGCGGAGCTTGAGTATGGGCGGGGTCTGCTCAGACACTGGTCACATGTGCAAGCACATCACACCAACAGGTCTCACCATGACAGAGCAAGAGACTCCTCTGGCTGCTGGGCTGCTGTCCTCCCTCTCCATGAAGCTCTGCTCTCCAGAAAGGGAGGTCTCTGTTGTCAGCAGAAGGGACTGGAACATTCCAAGGTGGTTCTTAGTTTGATGCCTGTATGAGGTCACTCACAGGATCCTCTTTCAGAAAGTACCTGATAGGGGGTGAACTCCTTGTTCTATCTGAAGTCAGAAAAATCCAAGTAAGTGGACCTTTGACCTATGAGCTCAGTGTGTCCACAAGGGCTGGTTGAAACTGAAGACGATTTTTCCTGGGCTTATCCATAATGGAAATACCCATAAAGGGTTCCAAATCTCCCAAAGCACCCTTTAACTAACCTCTTCAAAATAAAAATGTTGTATAATGGGCATAATTTACCAGAAACACCAACAACTTTCCTAGTACAGTCACCAAAGTTCTAAAATATACCTACTTTGCCAGAAACAATTCCATACTGTACTCACCATTCCAGTGGACTTCTTTGCCTTGCAGGAGGGGAGGGTGAAACCGGAGGTGGCTACTGTCTGGGAGGAGCGTCCCCATCCCCTTCCGAGAGAGCATCAGGAACCCAGCTCTGTGTCCTTGCTCTCCCCAGGAGTCTGCAGCCCACTAGGACCTGCTTCTGGCTCACTCAGCCTCAACCTTTTCAGAGCTAAAGCTGGTCTGTGGTGGCCTGCTCTGTAGTACGTGAGTGCTATGCCTGGCTTTTTCTCTGTCTGGATAGGAGCTCTATACAAATATTTGTGGCTGTGTCCATTTTTTCCAGGATTTTCTTTATTTCAGAACTTTGCTGCGCTGATTCTTGATACTCTTCCTTCTTTTTAGAAAGCTCCTGTGCTGGACATATAGCTGAGCAGTGTAAGTATCTGCCTGTCAAGTGCAAGGTCTGAAGTTTGATTCCTGCTATCAACAGAAAAAAGGCAAGCAAGCCAGCTCACTGCCATTTTCTGTTGTCCAGCCAGAAGCTGAAGCTCCTCTGCAGACAAGTGCTCTGAGTGTTCCACCATGAGGTCCTCAGCGTCACCACTGTCCACCTGCAAGCCTATGCACTGTAGTGACACTGTCATCAACCACGGGGCCAGCTGCGAGCTCAGGCTGCTCTACACAGCCTTCCAAGTCTCTCTCCTGTATAATTTTAGGGCATCCTTCCTTCTAGGCAAATCTCAGTGTCCGCAAGACACACTGGCCCAGGAATTCTAGCCTCACCTAGGAAAGGATACTGTAATTTTCCTTCCAGAACTTCTTAAGGGTTCATTCTGTACCTGAGACCATCTGGAAGCACTTTGGGAATAGTTCCTTGGTGTGTGGCTTCTTAAAGTTAGCTGGCACCTGCTGGTCCCCAGGCTGCAATAGAGGAGTTGTATTAGGTCAGAGGAACTCGACTGAGAGCCATGGGAATTCTTCAGTCAGTTCTTCCAGATCTCATGGTGAGCAGGAGCTCTTTCCAGGATGAGGAGAGCCCTGAGTGGGAAACCTCTGTCCTCTAGGTATTTCTTAATAGTAGAACTGAAAGCCTCCCTGATCCACTCAAGAGAAAGTACTCTTGTTAGCCAGGTTTTTCCACTAGATCGCTACATGACTCCTAGCCCATTCTCCGTGACGTTGTTTTCTGAACAGTCCAGGGATCTGAGAGTGATAACCAACACAGGTTTCACCTGAAGTCACCTCTTGCACTGGCACGTAACAGTAAGGTTCTCCTACCCTTCCCAGGCTGTGGCTCAGCATTTCTTCCTCTTGCTGGGTATCTATGTTCTCCTGGGCATTTTCTCCTAGAAAAGGCCGGTTTCATCACAGTTGAAAACGTGATGAGAACAAAGCCCTTTCTCTATGCCATCATTTCACAGTAGTGCATGTAACTCTCAGCAGCCCTTTTATCAGCCCTGGCCTGCTTATGCTATGAATCCCAGTTCTTCCTCTAAAATTGGGAAGCCATCCCTTGCTGGCACAAAATGTTTCACTATGACCACTCGTTGATGGATTATGCTTTATGAGATCTGCATTTCTAGCCCTAGCTCCTTCCAGGGTATCACACTCAGACAGGCTATCACCTGCCATTGGACTTTCATTTATGCACACTAGCCTTTCTGCCTCATCTAACACTGTTGGTCAGCAGGAAAGCCATGCCTGCCACTGGGGACTGACTACATAGGCCACAGCATAGAGCACCTAAATGAAAAATGGCTCTGTAGAATATTTAGTGATCATGCTTTTGATTATTATTATTTTTTTAGAGATAGGGGTCTCACTACGTTGCCCAGGCTGTGCTCAAATTCCTGGGCTCAGGTGATCCCCTTGCCTCAGCTTCCTGAGTGCTGGATTAGAGGCAAATGCCATTGGATCATAATTTTTTTAAAAAGCAGGTTATTAAATATTGTATATGTAGTGAGATTACGAGTTACTGTCCTTTTTTAGGCATATTTATGTTTTCATATACAGGATAACATAGTCCACAAATCTGGGGAGGATGAGAAGAAAGCAAGGGACAGGTGGGGAACAAGACAGGCTGGGACTTGAGCTCTGCTGGCCCCACATTTGAGGCTGTGGCTGCCTTCAAATGACACCAAGGGCAGACTGATGGGGGCGCTCCTGGCCCTTCAGGGTAGGGAAGAGGCAGGACCTGTGGCTCTGAGTGTGTCCAGGGAGCCTGGCTAGGGGACTTGGCCTACTCTGGAAGATAAAGCCAGGGACAAGTGATGGACAGGGCAGAGCTAGGCTGCAGTCAGTGGTCCCATGCTGGACAAAGACCCATATACATTGTAAACACCAAGGAAAGGTAACCTTCCTATGTTAGTACTTTGCCAGTTATGAACTACTTTCTTGCCTGCTTTTTTTCCCCCTCTAATGCTAGGGATCCAACCCAAGGCCTCTGCACTGGCTACATCCCCAGCCCTTTTTGATTTATTTAGAGTCTTGCCGAGTTGCCAATGCTCCCAGAGTGCTGGGATTTCAGGCATGTGCCACAATAACACTACCTGTTACTTCATTTGATGCTTACAGATGATCAGAGGTGAAAGGACTTGCTGATGACAGCAGAGCCAGTCTAGGGGAGCTAGGGTCTGACCCCAGTTGATTGTGAGCTCTACTTGAAAGGGTAGTGAAGACAGAGAAAGGATCCTAAAACCACTTAACAACTTGATGCCCCAAAAATCCAAGGGTCAGAAGAGACGCAAGACCCAGTGCTAGACACTGGGATGGTCCCAAGGAGTTGGGTGGGGTGGCTGGGTGGCCAAGGCAGCTGGCAGGGCACTTGCGCTGAATACAGCAGCTGCTTACTGACCAGTCCAGAAGTGTCTCACCACCTCTCCTCCCTGGGGACCCATCTGTTCAGGTAGGCCCAGGAAGAAGGTCATCCCTCCTTGTCTCCTTTATCTCTGTGTCACTTAAACCTCAACACTAACACTAACTGGAAACTCTCCAATGTGTCAGTTATTTCTTTTTTTTGGTCTTTTTCCTTTTTATCGGTACCGGGGATCGAACTCACGACTGCCTGCTTGCAAGGCAGGCGCTTATGCCGCTGAGCTAAATCCCCAGCCTGTGTCAGTTATTTCAGTATGGCAATTTTGTGGTCAAACCACACTCCAAAGAGAAGGAATTCGATGTCTCCCTGATGCAGGATTCCAGGGACATGTCCAAGTCCGTGAAATCACTCTTGGTTCCTCTGCTCATGCAGAGCTCAGTGGAGGCTGCTAATGGGAAACAGGAAGCCACAGTGTTTTTATCTGCCTTTGTCAAGGGTGTTTATGGCCTGTGTGTGAGGGGATGCACTGCATGCTGAAGACTCTGACCAAGCAGAGCCAGTGATGTCATGCGTCCTCTGGGACAGCAGAAGACAGAGAGGCACGTCACCTCCCTCTTGGGTAGGGTCCGATCTCTTCACTCTTAGCCCCATGGAGCAGGCCTTCCACTGTGCACCCCATAATGGGGGTTAATGTTCATGGGGCTCCCTTCCAACCCAGAGCATAGGCTTATGAAGGAATGAAGGTAAGGTTATTGTCAATGAAAGTCTTTGTGAACCACGTCATGAATATGGGATGCCTAGAAAGTAATCAGAGAGCATTAAGAAGAGCTTAACATTGTGCACAGCGCTAACTCTTCAGGGAGTAGAGGCCATGCAGGCACCTGTGGGTGCGGGAGAGGTCTGCATTCTCTCTGGTGTCCTCCATTGTCCTTGGGACCTCTTGGGAGTTCTAAGGTCTTAGACCAGAGAGACAGCCACACTCAGTTCCACAGTCTACAGCTAGAATGTTCCCTCCTGCCTTGGACACCGGCAGCCGGGGTTCTGCTTCTTACCATAGCTCCAAGGAGCGAGGTTCTGAGGGTCATAGCTAAACGGAGTCATATTCACTGCGGAGGTGCCATTGTTCTGGAGAACTTCCTGTTCTGGGGACAAGGAAGAACATCAAGAAAGAGCTCTAAAGGAAAGCACGATTGCTTGCTTTTTTTCCTTTTAATCTAGTGTCTTGCTAGACTCTCCCTACCTTCTGCAGTACATCTCTTTAAAATTAGTTTCTGGGGCTGGGTTGTAGTTCAATGGTAGAGTACTTGGTGAGCTTGCACTAGGCCCTGATTTTATCCCCAGAGCTAAAGGAAAAAATGTACAAAGGTAAAGTCTTTTTATAATTCTATTTCCCAGAGACGGTCTACATTTAAATTATTTTTTCAGTATTAGGAACTAAGCCCAGGACCTCTGTACTGAGCTATATCCCTGGATTATTTATTTTTTTATTTTAAGACAGTATCCTGCTAAGTTGCCCAGGCTGGGGTTGAACTTGTGATCCTCTTGCCTTAGTCTCTCAGAGTGCTGAGATAACAGGCATGGGCTACCATGCCTGGCATGATTCAACTTTTGATAAAAGTCATATTTTAAAGCACTACATAGCTTTATTATAAAGGAACTATAAGTTAGATATTTGATACCATGACCATATTTCCTTGATTTCTCCATGAATGTCTTTGTTTCAAATATTCTGTCTTACTGTCTGTCCTCAGGGTCTGAGGATTTAGCTCAGTGGCACAAGCATCTGCTGGGCAAGTGTGAGGTCTTGAGTTCGATGCCCAGTACCAAAAAAAAAAAGTCCTTAATACAGTCAAGTTTTTTAGAATCTAAACTACCTGTCTCTGACAGCCTCTAAACCTGGGAAGAGTATCCGCATTCTCTGTTAGACTTCCTTGTAGTATTCTTATTTACGTATTTTGGTGGTACTGAGAATTGAGCCCAGGGTTTTCGTACTGAGCTACACCCCCAGCTTTTTTATGTATGTGTGTACACATTTTTTTGAGACAGGGTATCCCTGACTCACTAAATTGCCCAGGCTATGCTCCACTCTGAGATCCTTCTGCTTCAGCCTCCAGAGTGCAGGGATTACAGATGTGCCTTTCTATTGTCATGTAAAATTGCCTGGAAATTTAGCAGCTTAAAGTTCTGGGGGCCACAGCTAGACAGGGTCTCCACCGGTACTTTAATGATCTAATACAGTTCCCAAGGGCTGGGCACCTGGGAGTGGCTCTAGCTGAGTGGTGCCAGCTCAGGGTAAGGTTGAGGTCCAGTTGTCTGCTGAGGCTGAGAATTTTTTTAAACTTTGGATTTATGTCCCAGAGATAACAGTTCTTCTAAGAACTAGTATAGAAAGATAACAAGCCTCGGGGCCATGTCTTTCAGCAAGAGGGTACAGTATTGTATATAGCAGGAGTTTCAAGAATAGATAAAGTGGCTAGGCGTTGCTGCACATGTCTGTAATCCCAGCACTTGTGAGGTTAGGGCATGAAGATCTCTGCGAGTTCGAGGCCAGTCTGGACCCTGCTTCAAAAACAAAACAAAACGAAACACCCAAAGAATACATTAGGCACCATGGCAGTCTGGAGTTGAGCAAGAAACATGAAACTTCAGTGGCACATGCCTATAATCCTAGCTCCTTGGGAGGCTGAGGCAAGAAGATACAAATTCAAGGCCAACATAGCCAATTTAGTAAGCGCTTATCTCACAGGGCTGGGGATATTGCTCAGTGGTAGAGTGCTTACTAGCATGTGCAAGACCCTACGTTAGAGTCCCAGTAATTGCAAAAAACAAAACCCCAAAACATAAAACTGACATTTAATTCTGTACCGAGAAAGGTGAGTACATATTTTTCAGTAGAAAATGGTTAAAAATTGGTTTAAATAATGACTTCACGCAAGCCTATCCATATGAAAGTGAAATCAAGAAGTGGGGAAAACCACCTAGGTCTGGAGATGACCTAGAGTCTGATTTATAACATAAAACACAGTAATACCTTGGTTCACAAACTTAATTCTTTCCACCATTCTGGTTGCAAATCAAACTGGATGAGAACTAAATCAAACCTGTAAGCGCTAAGATGAGAAAAAAGGTTTGGGGTCAAAACTGATCTGGTGTTAGTTTTCTTTGGGGCCCATCCTGTCCCTATTTTCACAGATCAGTTCTCTCTTCTCCTCCCCAGGGTCCTGTGTCACTGAATTCTCTCTCTCTCATCCTCCAGCAGGAATGGCACCCCTTCCATGCCCAGGTGGCACTGCTCAATGGGTGCTTTGCTGTGCCTCTCTGGTGTCTACCACCTGGGCAGAGCATAGCTCCCCAGAACATTGCTAACTAGAGTGCCAATGTCATCCTGTGCTGGGTGACTCCTGGGCAGTCTCTCTCGCACAACAGTCCTGTGCTTCCACTTTCACCACCAGAATTCTGTCTGCATTCAAAGAACCAGGGGGATCCCGGATATAGCCCCTCTCACTGCTGCCACTCCTGACTGTGAAAGTCCCCAAAGATGCTCACTTGTACCACAAGAAGGTCACATTTCACAGAAACATCTTATGAGCTCCAGTATTTTTCAGACTTCTTGAATCACACTCAATATATTTTTAAATTAAAAAACATCTTGAATTTGGAAATACTGAACTCAGAGCCTTTGCACTGAGCCTTACTCCTTTTTTAAAATTTTGAGACAGTGTTGCTAAGTCATTAAATTGCCCAAATTGGGCTCAAACTTACATCTTTTTGCCTTAGCCTCCCAGAGTGCTGGAGTTGGCATGAACCACATCAGGCTGACTTTTTCTATTTATTTATTTGTATTTTTCTTTTAAAAGCATAACCTAAAATTTTTATCTCAACTAAACATTTTTTGGTGGGGGTACGGGGAATCAAAGTCAGGACCTCACACTTGCCAGGCACACACTGCCACTGAGCTAAACCCCTAGCTCCTCAACTAAACATTTAAAACAGTAATTCCTTAATACTCAATCAATGTTCATATGTTCCTGAGTTTTAAAAATTTCAGTAGGTTGGTCATAATTCGAATAAGGTCTACTGTGCACGATGCATTTGGCCAGCAAGTTTTTTCATCTATTGGTCTACGTTCTTCTTTAAATAATTTTTTTAAAAATATTAATTTGTTTATTGAAGTATTGCATTGTTTGTATTCGAGTGAAAACACTCTTCTTCACTGCTGGCCTCGGTTTCCCCTTCCCTAGTGGAAAAGGACCGGGCAAGACGGGGTCCGGGGGCTCCACTCCGACCCACTCTGCCCCTTCTGTTGTGACTGCATTCTGGAGAGGGTCAAACTCGTTCCGTGGGAAGCTACTTTGTGAGCAGCTGAGGGAAGGCGGGGCGCCCAGGTCTGGAGGGCGGGACCCGGCTGGCGCAAAGGACGGGCGACAGCGACACCCCTTCCTTCTGTGGTGGCCACTGCCCCCTGGCGGGTCCCTGGGAACAGGCCACCTTGGCATCCAAATAGGGGTTAGAGGCCGAGGTAACCCAAGAGGTGTTTTACCATATGCCGTGAAATCCTCGTGGTCCGAAGGGCGAGTCGGACTACTACTCTGTCCGCCTGCGGCCTGCGGTGGCCATTCTGTCTCGCACGTGGCTTCCGTCAAACTACAACTCCCAGAGTCCTCAGCGGCGAACTGGTTACCACAGAGACGGGCCAGGATCGCCGCTGTAGGTTCATCAGCATTCAGACCATTGGTGCCTTCGGCTTGCACGTGGCCGGCGCTACCTTCATGGCTTCAAAATTGGTTGTTCACGTTCTCCTGCTAGCCGACCTTTACCCGTGGAGGCCGAGAAATTTGATCGTGGTCTGTGGATAGGCCGAACTACATTTCCCAGAACGCTCCGAGCGCACACCACTTCCGATTGCGAGCTATTTGCTCTCACCGAGACGAGTCTCAGGGTATTTGTGCCACTGAAGTCTCAGGGAATAGAGGAGTCAGAGAAGAGGTACAGAGAAGGCTAGAATGATTAATTTGGTAATTAAGCAACGTCGGAGGGCACATCTCCTAATGTGCCTCTTCTGTTTCTATGGATGCTGAGGGCCCGCGCGAGTGGCACACAGTCCCCTGGAAAGTGCCTGAGCCGCTGCCCCAAGAACTATGGGAAAAGTTACCCGCCACGACCTCTGGCACTTGCACTCAGCCTGACACACAGAGGGTAGATGACTCGACTCTTCCACTCCCATCTTGAACGCTCAGATCCTGCCTCCCAAATATTAACAGAAGCTGACCTTTTCTCTCTGTGCCCACCTTACATTCTCTGACAAAAGTAACCTGTTACCTGCTCTGCTTACGGCTCTTCAGTGGCAAACAAATCAGCGTTTTTAGATTGTCGTGTTTGTTAGACCTTTGTCTATGGTCTCCTCTATTCTCATACAGAAGAAGAATATTTAGATTGAGGTTGTTCCTCATCTTGTGATTGATTTTTATAAAGCTATTGAGTTTTTAAAACACAGAGCTCAAATTACTGCTTTGAACAATTATATCCAAAAACGAATGATAAATTCTCAATGCATTGTTTGCAAGAGATATGTGTATTCTTAAAGTTGGAAGTGATGGTGCACACCTATAACCCCAGATATTTAGAAAGCTGAGGTAGGAGGATTACATGTTCAAGGCTAGCCTGTGCAATTTAGCTAGACTTTGTGTTGAGGAAAAAAAAAATGTGGGTGTAGCTCAGTGGTGGAATGCTTGCCTAACTTGGAGGAGGCTCAGCATTCACAGAACATCATCACAGAACACTGCATAGGTATTACAGACTTTAGGACTGTAAATGTAAGAAATGGGTTATATTTATTTTACACAACACCTTGAATGTCTAACGTCTACAACTGTTCCTAATCCAAAGAGTAAATCTACACTGAGCTTTGAGACAGGATAAAGCCCATCCTAAGGCCTAGATAAGAATGAACTATTAGAATGCAGGAAGATAAATGATGTGTTGCTCACTTCAAAGCACCAGGAACTTTCCCTTTGAAGTGGGAATAGTTGGCAGCCAAAACATTTCCACTGGCTTTTAACTTCTGTCTGAAGAATGGCCCATATCACCAATGTAAAGACTTCTTTAACTGATAATGCAGTTCAGATAAAAGTCATATCAAAAACATGTAATCTGTTCTTAACATTTAAAAGCCATTTCCTCCCTCTTAATTTAATTTCTTTGGTTTTGGTTTTTAAAACACGAAATCTTCTTTTTCCCTTCCTAATGAAAGGATACATTTGTTGAGAAATTGTAAGCCAAGATCAGAACATTCATGTAACTCTCAGTGATTAGGCAGGGAAGGCTGACATCAAGAAGAGCCATACCTCAGAGTAATCTTCTGAAGTGATACACGCCTGGTTGCCTTCTCAATGGGCTTTAAAAGTGTTACTTATTAAACGAGTCCCTACATGTCCTGAGTAACGAGGTAAATGCCACTCTTCTTCATGATTTAGCTTCTCAGAGATATAAGGGCCTCCCAGTGTTCTTCATAGAATATAATGACCTCTATGAGCTTTGCATGACCAATTTTGAGATAAGGAACATTCAAGTTACAGTGCATGAGAATAAGTCATTTTTTTCATAATGGATAGAGCTTCGGAACACTACTTGTCACTTGGTTCAAAGAACTATGATGTCAGTTGTATCTGCAACTCACGCACCAGGCATTGTCAGCCTGATCTGATTCAAATCTACTTAATGTAGTCCTTATTTGCCCTATTCTTCTTGTAATGTGTGTTGTCTAGCTTTCTGTTATGGTAACAAAATACTTGAAGTAGCCAACTTAAAGCCTGTGAAGTTTTGTTTCTGGCTCTGAGTCTTAGAGGATTCAGTCCAATGTTGGTCACACTGGCTTTAGGTCTGTGGTGAGGTACACTTTTTTTTGGTGTGTGTGTCTTTTTGAGACAGGGTCTCACTGTGCAGTTCAGGTTGGCCTTGAGCTCACTTTGTAGCCCAGGCTGGTCTCGAACTCACAACGATCCTCCCACCTCAGCCTCCCGAGTGCTGGGATTATAGGCGTGAGCCATCATGCCTGGCTTCTAGTGAGGTACACTTATGGCTGGAGGAACAGAATGGTGTGGACCTACTCATCTCATGGCAGTAGAGAAGTGGAAAAGAGAAACAAAACCAGTGTCCCACAGTCCACTTAGGAGACATACCCAGTGACCTAGAACTTCCGAATGAGAACTCAGATCTTCAAGGTTCCTGACACCTTGTAACAGCAGCAAGATGGGGTGTAAGCTTTTAATATATGAGCCTGTAGGAGATATTTAAGATGCAAACTCTAGCCCTCTGGTTATTGTTACTTTACCAGTGTCAGTCTCTGAAGTCATCTTAGTTTCTCCTTGGTGAGATACAATGCCTGACACCACTTAAAGAAGGAAAGGTTTATTTTGGCTCATGTTTTCAGGTCATAGTTATCAGGGTCCAAGGCAGAAACAGCATGGTGGGAGGGTCTGGAGGATATATCTTTCCAGGCCATGCCCCTGGTGGTCCAGGATCCACTTCCTAGCAGCAAGTCAGCCATAGCCACCCTCAAAAAGCCCCACATTTGAACACAACAGGCTTTGACAGGATATTCTTAATCTCAGTTATAACATGGGTGACATTTTCAGCCATGCTTACAGGGAGAACTGCCAATTAGATTTTGGAAAGAGCAGAGGCTTGGGGTCCAGTCTTGTCCTCTCCTCTAATTGCCTGGGTCATCCGGAACAAGTCATTTGTAATCTCCCCAAAAATTGTCCTTTCTCTTCTACTAAGTCTTCAGTGAATGGCATTTGTGGTAGGTGAACAATGGCCCCTAAAGAGATCATGACCCAATCCCTAGAACCTGTCAGTGTTATTTGGAAAAAGGGTCTTTGCAGATGGGACTGTTAGGAATCTGTAGCCAGGGAGGGTATCCTGGGTTATCTGTGTAAACCCTAAAGGCAGTTACAGAAGTGCTGTAGACAGAGGGAGATTTGAAACAGACACAGACAGGAAAAGGCGATATGGGGACAGAACACAAAGAAACTTGAAGATGCTGCAGTGATTCAGCCATAAACCAAGGAATGACAATAGTCCCCAGAAGCTGGAAGGGGCGAGAGGGTTCAGAGAAGGCTCTCCTGAACCTCCAGAGGGAGTGTGGCATCTGATTTGGACCCGTCATACTGATTTTGGACTTCTGGCCTCCAGAACTGTGAGCGAAGCCTTGAAATAAGCTGATTCTTGTTATTCAGAGCTGTTATGTTCTATAAAGTCACCAAGGATACTGACTTAGTAATACTAAGCATTGCTCTTAGAGGAAATACAGGGCTAAATTCCTGCCAATCTATAGAATATGATCATCAACTGCGTGATCTGTAACTTGTTTTATGTGTTTCTTTTCAAAGATGTTTTATTTCAAATAAACTGTTGAGTCACAATCTCTGTATTCAAGGCCAGCAGCACTGTAGCCCCTGCTGGGAGGAAGCCGATGGGACGCATATCCTGTCTTCGAGGAGCCCCACGCGGCCCTCCTGGGCTCAAGCCCACTAGCTAGCACCTCACCACTGTACTTGGGCCACTTCACAGTGAGGTCACAAATGAGATGCTCAGAGAAATGGCACGAAGTAGGCCACTGCTTTGTGACAGCTAAAACAAGAATGCAGAGCAGCCCTCCACTGGCCTCAGCTGGGAGCACAGAGGTTTCAGGGACTGAAACTTTAGGCCATGCTGTGCATGTCTACGAGGAACTGAGAAAGCACCACAAGTACAGATCTGCGGAAGACAAATACATTTTAACAAGTAGGCCAGTCCTCAAACATAAAATCCATACGTGAGGCCTGACTGCAGCTGCACTGGGCATAGTGAGTATCCCTCATGACTCGGGGACGGGAGCTGCGTGATTTACACCAGCTACAGAAAATGAAGACTCTACTCTGCTGCTGTTGTGCTGGGAATTGAACACTGCCTCTTTGGCCTAAGCTACATTCCCAGCTCTTTTTTTAAAAATTTCTTTCTTTTTAATATTTTATGAGTCAGGGTCTTGCTAGGTTGCTGAGTTGCTCAGGCTGGACTCGAACTTGCAATTTTCCTGTCTCAGCTTCCCAGTGTTGGGATTACAGGTACGAGACAACATGCTCAGTCTTTTATTTTTTGGTACTGGGGGTTGAACTTACACCTGCCAGTCAGGCCTTATGCCACTGAGCTAAATCCCCAGCTTCGGTCTTTTTTTTTTCCCCACCTAAAACATAGTACTTAAGTTTCTGACTCTACCTCACTATTATTTAGAAAAACACAATGAAGACAGTATGGGGGAAGGGTTTTGTGGTTTCATCACATATATGGTCTACAGCTGGAACTGTACCTCACGCATCACAGTGGATGCTCTACTAGTTAGAACTGGTTGACTGAATCAAGGAATGAAAATCACATCCAAACAATACACCTGGTTTAAACTGCTGTTGCATCTTTGGGCTATGATGGCTACAATTCCACAGTTTTTATAATTTGACATATGTGACAGGGAGGGGATTCCTCAATTTTCCAGCTCTTTGAAAACGCCTGGGGCCAGAGACTCAGAATCCACTGATTTTCCCAGCTGAACTAAGGACAGAAGATAGTACAAGTCAATTCCTGGCTGACTGCTACCTCCCGGGGGAAGAGGATAGTTTCTTCTGTAGCCACGGGGAGAAGAAAACACAAGTAGCTGGGTACAATCTTGGTTCCGTGCTCGGAAGCAGCTGACTGCATCAGCAGGTGGACGTCCCAGAGGAAGGCCGTTAAGTGATGATTGACATCTCCTCCCTGTCTCTGCTCTCAGACATGGAACTGATGATGTTTTTCAAATATTTTACGAATTCCATCCGGATCTCTTCAGGCTTATCCTCGAGATTCGAGTGCACCAGCTTCAGCTTGTTCAATGGTGGCACTTAAGAGAGGAGGAGAATCAGGTCAGTTAGGTGTGATCTTTCCACAAGGGGCCCTTTCTAGCTCCCAATGACCAACCACCTGCAGGTCCTCTTGCAGTTTGTGTTTGTGGTGCTGGGATGGAACTCGGGGCCATATATGCTAGGTAAGTGTTCCAGCCCTTCCTCTTTGTTCTTAATCCAGGAAGGGATTCTCTCCTATTCTTACTTTGTTTCTGAATATATTAAGAGTTGTTTTCCAGGATCACTTTGTCACTTGGTCATGTGTGTCATGTAAGGCTTGGAGGCTTTCTTGACCTGTCAGGAAAACATGTGCACATTGGGACCAATAAAACCAGAACTCCCCACTCTTGGAGTCTGTCTGCTGTTAAGTGCCCTCACGCAGGCCTGGATGGCTCTTTAACACATGCCCGCACACAGCAGGTGCTCAGGGACTGCATGAAGCTGATGGACTTGGAGACACAGAGTAATACACGATGTTCTAGATGCTGAGACAAGAAGAGGAGAGGAAACCCAAGTCTCCTTACACAAAGACAGGCTTCCCATGTCACCTCCAGAGCCCGGTTTGTGATGTGCGATCAGCAGGCACTGAGAATCCTGTAAGAACTGCTGCTGAACAAAGCAGGAATACCACATTTCGATTTCCTTCAGGTGGCTTGGGATGTCGGCATTGAAAACGATGACCACTCCGTGGGCATCCTTCATCAGGGCCGGCCAGCAGGACTCAAACCTGCAAAGCAGGAAAGCAGTTGGAGCAGGTGTTAGGTCATCCTGGATTCTAATTATGCATTTTATTTCATTTCACTCGAATTTCTTTTGTGGTGCTAGGGATCGAACCCAGGACCCCAAGCATGCCAGGCAAGTACTCTACCACTGAGCTACATTCCAGCCCTGATATTTCAATCCCTGGACAAAGCACATCTTTAAAGGAAGCATACTTAGCATCGCCGCCACAGTCCCAGAGCTCAAACTCACACCCTGCGCCCTTGCTGCTGGCAACATTTGGGTTCTCAAATTCCAGGATCCTAAGAATAAAAAGAGCAGCAGAAAAGTCTCTTCTTAGGAAGCACTTTAGGAATGCCAGAACCCCACAAAGTAGGCGGTGGGTGGTTAGTGATTCTTTGAGGCACAGGTTGGCAGGCTAACCTCACTCCTTGGGTTGGGTTGTATTCGGTAATGTCAGAAGATTCAGTCAGAAAGTTGGCCAGGACAGTTTTTCCACTCTGTGAAAATGAAAATGAATAAAAGTCTTTGCTGAAGAGCAGAAAGATAAACACTAAAGATCCCTCTCTATTGCTGGCTTGGAAGGTGGCGTGGTGTAGTCCAGGCTGTAGACCATGCTGGCTCGCTCTACAGAGGTGGGCACAGCGAGCATGGTCTGAGAACCAGGAGGCATAAAAGTCTGGGCTGTGTCACCGAGGTGGTTCTAACCACACTGATTTCCTGCCTGGCTCTCAAGTACAGAACCCAAGACCAGAAAAAATATCGTGTCTCCTTGCGTGTCTCTCTCTTTATCTTCAGGAAACAAGTCTGCTACAGCTATGAAGCCACTGAGGCTCAGAGAGGGAAAAGGCGTTCTTTGAGATCACACAGGGGACTGAAATCAGAGCTGAGTCCCAGGCTGGGGATGCCTGACTGGCTGTGCCACAGTTCCAGAGAGTTGCTTCTCTTTATGTAATACAAAAGTAATACCCATCCCCAGTGAAATATCGACAGAACAACAAAACAGCCTTCCTCATCTCTCCATTCAAACATCCCTTCATCCATCCCATTCCCTCCTTATCTGTTTTTCAGATCTTTGCTATATATTTGCATTTATTGAATTTATTATGTCTGAATATAAAAGCAGGGTTGTTTGTTTGTTTTGTCATTTCCAAAGAAAGGCAATCTCTTCAGTTTGGATGCTTATAAAAATTTCTCCCAAATTGGATGGGGTGGTACTTGCCTATAGTCCTAGCACTCTGGGAGGCTGGGGTAGGAGGATACCAAATTCCAGTCCAGCGCAGGCAACTTAGCGATTTAGTAAAATGTCATCTCAAAATAGTAGTAATAATAATAATAGAGGATCTGAGGATATAGTCCATTGCAAAGGCCCTGAGTTCAATATCCAGTACTAAAAAAACCCAAAACATAAAACACAATCATGCCCTCAGATACTTCATTCTGAGCAGTAACTGCTTGGCTAGAATGATCTTGGTCAAAGTGAGTTTAGGAGACTTTGAGAGGTCAATTGACAGAATCAGAAAAATAAAAGTGGGGACAGGGACTCAATACTACTTTAGTAATTTTCCATAAAGATGAAGCTGTACAAATTAAGTATGATGTTGTCGAGATCATGCATGTTTATTTTTTAGATTGAATAAATGAAGCAAATAGTCTGAGATCATAGGAACAGATTCTGGGGTTTGAATACATTTCCAGGAACGAAGTCAAACACAGATTCTAAAAGTGCTGTTTCTAAACAACTTAGATTAGTGGAAAGATGATGTGCTTTGGAAGCCATGTAAGAGGAATGAAAATGGTGAGATTAAAAAGTGAGGCAGAGGGATAACTGAAATATATTTTATAGTAAATGCTGGATGATGCATACCAGGAGCTCATCATTCTCTTTCCCTCTACATACTTGAGAGCTTTCATAAATGGAAAAAAAGTTTTTCAACAGTTGTTTTTTTATAAATCTGCACACTTTAATATTTTGTCTTGGAGAGCTCGCTGTATCAGCATGCACAGAATTGCCTCATTTTACTTAATTGTGGCACAGTCTTTAAAAATAGGTAAGCAGGAATATATCACCGGGTCTGGTGGCACAGGCCTGTAATCCTAGCACTCAGAAGGCTCAGGCAGCAGGACTGCCATGAGTTTGAGGCCATCCTGGGCTATCGTGAGTTCAAGGCCAGCATGGACTAGAGTAAATCCTTGTCTCAAAAAACCAAAACCAAAACCAAACAAAACAAAAAGCAAAGTTATTATCAATTTAGAATCTGCAACAGACTCCCAGATCATGCATTTTCCTACAATATTAACACTGTATATTATCAATCTTAAACTTTCCTCATCCAGTTTTTTTGGCAAGTATCATCTTTTTATTTTAATCACTGTCCCTGTGACTGTGAGGTTGTGTTCTCTCCTATGTAGTCACTGGACAATTTTATTTCCCAATTTTAACTGTGTGTGGAGCCCTTGCTTGATTTGCTACTGAACTGTTTCTGATTACTGTGTTTTAAACCTTCCTTGTATAGTTTACCTATGAATCCTTTCTTTGTAACACATTTGTAAATACTTCTCTGGGCTTTAACTCCACTATTATTTCTTCTAAGGCATCTTCACTTTTGTGTTATGGTTAAGAAAATCTTCCCTAACTCAACATAAAACACCTCTTTCCACACACTGACCTATGAATCCATAATTGTTCTCCATGTGTGGCCCCTGGACCAGCAACATTAGCGTCACTCTGGACCAGTGACAGCAAACCTTTTAGAGCTTTCATAACAAATAGACTGCTGTGGCATGCGTGCCACAGGTTTGCCAACACTGCTCTAGACCTGTATCAGCAAAATCCAACTCAGAGGTACATCCTGGGTCTTATGAAATAAAAACTCTAGGGTAGGACATTTTAACATCCCCTCCAGGTGATTTTGAAGCATTCTGAAGTTGGAGAATACTCATGTATCACTTCAACGGTGTTTGGCCCCAAAATATTTAGCTTCAGTCTCTCTGAATTTTATATTTGTGTACAGCGTTAAGTGCACGTTATACATGGAAAGCCTGCGTACTACCATCACACACATACATAGTCAATCGTTCCAAATCATATATAAATCAGTAATCTCATTCTCCCTCCTGTTTCTCTGGCCCCAAAGACATATTCATTGGGGAAGATCGAGCAGGCAAACTGAGTTAGGAGACCCAGGATCCAGTTCCAAAATGCCATTTACTATCGTGGAGCCTTCAGGCATTTTAACACCAGGTTCTAGCCAGGCGTGGTGGAGCACGCCTGTAATCCCAGCACTCAGGAGGCTGTGGCAGGAGGATCACTGCGAGTTCGAGGCCAGCCTGGCTGCAAAGTGAGTTCAAGGCCAGCCTGAACTGCATAGTGAAATCCTGTCTCAAAAAAAAAGAAAGAAAGAAAGAAAGAAAGAAAGAAAGAAAAGAAAAGTGAACACCAGGTTCTCTTCTATCTCTGGCAGTAGTTATTATCAAGGGGTTCCCGCTAAGCTCGCCAGAGTGGCAGCTCTAGGACCGGGTTGTCACCTCCTGGGGAGCTGCCTGAACCAAGCACAGATTTGGGGGATGCCCGGATGCCCCGCTGGTCTGTCCCGCAGCCTCACCTCGCAGGGCCCCACGAAGAGGATCTTGGCCTTCAGCATCTCTGTCGCCGCGCAAGAGCACGGTACAGTCCACCCGCGCCCTGGGAGGCGGCGCGTCTACCCTGCGTAAAACTCCTTGATGCCTTCGTTTCCATGGCGACCGGAAGCGGCGCGCAGGGGATGTCGGGAGAAGGCACTTCCGGGAGCTGCGGGCGGGAAGTGGGCAGGAGGCTCTTGCTGAGCGAACGCTGGAGCTGTGGGGAAAGTCCACGGCGCAAGCTGCTGGAGATTCTGGGCCTGAGACTCTTAAACTCGCCCCTTCTCTTGGTAAAGATACAGAAATTGAGGCTCCAGGAGGGGGCGCAGTGACCGGCCCCCAATTTTCCTTATTTTTCCTGATAACCCGAGTGCTTGCTCAGAAAGGCCAAGTAGCTGGTGACCCAGGCAGTGTACCAGGCCTCTGTCTTATTTGTCCCTCTGGGGTGATACTGCCCACACTGGGATCGCTTTTATCACAGCCTTGCCCTGGGGGAAGAGTAAGCAAAAGGAGCCAGGAAAGTAGTCTCCAGGCTCCTATAAAAGCTTCACTGTTCACCGTTACTCAGATGATCTGGGAGAAACCAAAGAGGCATTGTTTAGTCAATATGGGCGCTAGGGAATATTGCTGCTAAATTAGGCCAGCCTTAAATTACATAGCCATACTATATTACGTAGTTTTAGAAATAAATTACTAAATATGATTGGGCACTTCTTTCTTTTGGTACAAATCATTTTTTTAACTTTTTTTTTTTCTTTTTGCCTCATGCTACACGCTTGACTTCTTCCCTTCCTTCTTTGCAACTTGAAATTTTCTTTCCAGTGACGAGACTAGTAAATTCCTAACAGCAGCTCATGATAGCCTAGGGTATGCCCCTCGGTGTTTTTCTTCATCCGTCTTACTCATGCCTGTTCATAGTTCTCTCTACCTCTGGATATGGAAGAGGTTGTTAAAACAGGACTTCTCCAATTTCCGCTGACGCTTTAAAGGCTGACAATAGATATTACATGTCTTTAGATATTAGGCCATTTCTCAGAAACCAGTACACCACCTGGAAGTTATTGAAGAATTATGAGGTTGATGAAGAGAGGAAGAATTTTGGAGGAAATGCTGTTGGCTTACTTTAGGTCAAGCCAGAGATGGAGCTCAGAGAACGAACGTGTGCCCCTTAGAATTTGGGCAGCAGGAGGATGAGTAGGATCTGGTCCAAGAGTAGGGAAAGAAAGAGGATGCACGGGGAGCAGCCAAGGATGCGTGAGACTTCCTAGGAAACTGAGATGGGAGTTGGCTCTGAGTTGTTTAGGGCAGGGGTTCCCAGACCCTGGGCTGCAGACCAGTGCTAGTCTGTGGCCTGTTAGGAACTGGGTCACACAGCAGGATATGAACTGCGAATGAGTGAGGGAACTTCAGCTGTGTTTACAGCCAGTGCCCATCGCAGGCATCATCGCCTCACATGCCTTGCCTGCCTCCTGTCAGGTCAGTGGAGACATCAGCTTCTCATAGGTGCATGAAGTGCCCAATCATATTTAGTGATTTATTTCTAAAACTATGTAATACAATATGGCTATGTAATTTAAAGCTGCCTAATTTAGCAGCAATATTCCCTAGCGCCCGTATTGACTAAACAATGCCTCTTATAGGTGTAAGCTGCCTGCCCATGAAAGGGATCCAGGTTGTGTGCTCTTTTTGAATCATCCCCAAAACATTATGGTGGCCAAGAAGCAGAGCAAAGGAGGAGCCAGAGAAAAAGTTGAACACATCCAGGTCATGCTCTATGACCACCTCTAACCAGGCTCCACCTCCTAACAGCAAGTCATCTGTAGCACCCCTATAATTCAGCCACCTTCTAAAAACCCATCCTCTGAGCATATGAGACATCTTTTGGGGGGCGGTGTAGAGAGGATTCATTCTTGATCTAAACCATAGCGGGTTGTGAATACAGAGGGTACAAATAAAGCATTTTGTGACTTCATTGCTTTTGTGTAAATACCCAGGGATAGAATTGCTGAGAAACATGAATATATCTATGCCAGGGATATGATCTGTGAAATGAATTCTTAGGCAGTTTCATTGTGGGGACATCATAGTGTGCAGTGACACAATTAGACGCGACCTCTTGATGCCATCAAGAGATAAGGTGGATGGGCCGGCTGTTGGTATGGCAAGGCATTCTTTTATAGTCAACTTTTGTTTATAAGTAGGAGTGCACTATGAACTAGCAGGGGCCCAGCAAACTCAGGGGCCGCCTCTTCTGAGCCTGACAAGGCTGGATGGAGAGGCAGGACTGACAGAGAATGGCCACAGCAACACAGAAGGAGATGGTCATGCCTTCTACCAGAGCATTTTCAGACTCATGAGGAAATAGCAGGTGGACATCAGGACAGATGCAAAACACCATCAAAGAAAAACCAGTCCGTGCTAAATGAAACCAGCATGCTGTTTCTGAAAAACAAAAATCTCACAGACACAGAGCTGTGTAGAGATGAATGCACAGCCAAGATGAAACAGGGCTGCATTATGAGCTTCTGGACCCAAGACCAATTCATCTGCCTCTTATAAGCCTCATCAACTATGAGGTCTGGGACTTTGAATCCTGGAAAAACTGAGGAAACTTTCCAAACCAGTGTATCTCAAGTCTCATGATGAAATCTCCTTACTTAGAAGGAAGTTTATTTCATGGAAATGATGAGCCAACTAGATCTTGAGTGTCAACTGGGTAACATGACTCTTCTTCTTTATTAGGGGCAAAAACTCAAATATCATCTTTAGTCCTCCAGAATTGCCCATCACCATGATGTGTGTGCCTACGCATCCTCAGGGTTTGTCAGAGTCTTTCTTGCTGTATGAGCAACAAATCCACCCTAGAGGTCATGCACCTTCCATCCTCACTGAAGTCACCTTTTGAAATAAAGACTGAGCCCCAGGGAGACTGAGGTGTTACAGCTGTTCATGGGGGCTCCATTTGCCACCCATCAACCCATGCCAAAAAAAAAGACTAGCTAGTTTCAGGAAGTTCTTATGGCTGCTCTAAAATGTATACCTTGCCCAGTTTTGAGGTTATTTTACCTTCAATTAACATATTTCCTTAAAAGTGGGAGTTTTCATATGTGCTTTTCTGTGGTGGTCTTTCGATTTGTCCAATTGCCAAATAAATTTCTTAAAAGCACATTTTTGGGCTAATCATCTTTTTTTCATGAAAATTTTATGGAACACCTATTCCCCTTCCCTATGCACAAACGTGCACTCTGTAGTTAAGTGTATATGCTTGCTTTATCTTAATGCCTATGATTACTTAAGATGCCCTTTGGATCTGAAAAACTTCCTTGAAACTCATACTATCCATTAAATTTTACTCTAGCATAACTGAAAAGTACAAGGTGTGGACTGTCTTTCAAATTGTATCTAAACATGAACAGAACAAATAGAAGTGAGAATTCATGGCAAGTCATTTGTACATTAAGGTTACTGCCTCTAACCACAAAGAGAGTGAGCATAACCAATAAAGAAAATCTCTACCAAAAAAGTAACAAAATAACTTAGAAAAGTAAATGCCTAACCATTAATAGAGGTGCTTATTAAGTGATACTGCTGACATAACTGTATGTGATGTACCTGGGAACATACATGTAGTCGATTTACACCCAGCTCATCACAAATGTGCACATAATATGTTGTGTCACAGTGTCACTAGGTGGTGGGAATCCTTCAGCCCCACTCTAATCTTAAGAGTGCCTTATATGTGGTCATCACTGACCAAATTGTTGTCAGGTATGACTGTATACACACACATACATATGGAGATGTTTATGTTATACACACATTATTTAATGGTTTCCTGTTTTACACGCTGGATTATAATCTGTTTTACATCTGGATTATAACTTATCATTGTACTTTGTTGCTTAAATTGTCCTTTATTTGGCAGTTGGGAGCCCCTTTGAGCTAGTTTCTGTGTCCTTTTGAAATCTTTCTCTTTCTCTTAGTTTTTCCTTACATTTTAGTACTATTGCATATTCCCAGGTGGTTATTTTATTAGCATGATTCATAATCATGTATTACACACATTCTTTCTATACGTTAAGAAATTGAAAGTTTCAAAAGTCTGAAGAACCTCAAAAAAGCTGTTCCTTTGTACACCTGGAAATTTTGGAAGGAAACACCATTCCCCCACTTCCCTGCACAAACTATATAGGTATCTGGGCCGGGTTTGGAAGGGCTGGTGGCAGGCATGTGCTGGGTTCCAGAGATAGATTGTAGTCTCTGCCCTTGGAGCTTCTTGTCCGACGGGAAGACCAAACTGTAGAGTGTTTTATCTCTTGTCAAATGTTTTTCATATAGAACCAGGCTGAGGCAGGAGGATCATCAAGAGTTCAAAACCAGCCTGGGCTAGGTAGTGAACTATATAGCAAGACTCTGCCTCAAAAAACCAAACAAACAAACAAACAACTTTCCATTTAGAGTCTTATTTTATTTGTGATGGAAGCTATTACTAAAGAGCAAGGTGACAACTTTGTGTCCTAAATTGATGTCAGAGAAGAGGCAGGAGCCATAGGCTTCCCAGTGGCCCAGTTCTCCTTTCAACACAGAGGCCAAGTATCCTCTGTGAATGGAAATGACTGCCTCTAAGTCTGCCTCAGCTGGATCAGCGCAAAGCCCACGCTGCTTCAGCCCCAGTTTTAATTAGCACAACTAAGTAGTTGCTTTTGTGTTCCTTAACCCCTGGGGCTTCTTTGAAGAGTTTCATTCATGTTTAGGTGCCCTGGACCTAGCTGTCAGCCTGGCACCCAGTAGGTGCTCAACAGATGTCAGTCAGTCCCTTCTTTTCCAACACGCACCCATGCAACATACGTATTCATTGATCTATAAATATTTGTTAATGAACGTTCCCTGAAACTTGCCAAAGGGCTTTAAGTTTTTGTTTCCAGGTGAGGGAAATAAAAAATGTGAACTGCTTTATATTTCTTGAATATATGTACTTTTTAAATTTAGGATTATTATTAATATTGTAAATGATTGAAATACTTTGCTTTATGACTTTCATTTTAATTAGAAGAGGTTGACTTCAGACTGCTTAAGACCTGGCCTTTGGTTCTAAAGAGAGCAATGTGACATTGGTGAGAACTGGGTGAACTGAAAGCCATTTTTCTCCTGGTTTGGTGAC